GCCCTGGCCCTGGAGCGGCGGTGGCACGCTCTCCATCTCCCAGGGTGGGATCCACTCCTGTCCTTGTTCCTTCCAAAGGAGAAGAACAAAGTGATAATGGGGGGGGAAAAAAAAAACAAAACAAAACAAAAAAAACCCACAAAAACCCCAATAATCTCCTCCGTCGTGCTGTAGTTTGTGCGTTGTGTCGAGTGTGTGCCCAACTCCTGTGCTGTCCCCGTGCCACGGCACCGTTATTAACCGGTGGAATAAATACCAGGAGATGTCTATGCAATTTCTTTCTCTCCTCGAGCAGTACTTTACCCCGAGGAAGGTTTCGGGGTGCCCCCAAGGGACGAGGGGCGCAGAGCGATCGAGGGCATCCCCTTTACGAGGGCAGAGGTGGTGATGGTGGGGGGGGGAAGCGGCGCTGGGAGCTCAGGGGGGAAATCTCCAGCATCGCTCAGCCCAGAGCATCACCTGGTTGGGGTGGGGTGTTTTCCCACGCTTGGTACCCACGGGATGCTCCGAACGGCTCTTTGTCAGCAGCCGCCTGGAAAAGCCGACAACCCCCCCGATATTTTGGGCTATTTTAACCAAAAGGCTTCAGATCGCTCACCGGTTCCCCGCTTACACGCTCACGCTGCCAGCAAGGACACGTATCCGTACAGGTGTGCCGGGCATCCCGGCGAGGGCCAGAGCGCTGCGCAGCATTATCTCCTTCCTAGGATGCCCCCTGAAAGCAAAATCTACTGCAACCATAGAAACCAGAGGACTTAAGTGATGTGTCATGTACATGTGCCGTCTCTGTTTTCAGTACCTTTGCCAAGAACGCAATGTGAGAGCCCTGTAAGGTTTATTTCATTCCTTCATCCCATACCTCTGTAAAGACAGACAGAAATCAGTCAGAAAAGGACCAATGGATGTTTGCTTCTCTCTCTGGCGTTACACAGAGCTGCCAGAGGAACGGTGCCGTTACTGCCACGAGTGGGGATGCAGGCAGAAGGGTGGTGGGGCAGGTGCAGTGGGGAGCCCAGTGCCGAGAGCAGCTTTTGCAGGGAGGGTGGTAAATGGAAGAAAAAGCAGTAAGTGAGGTCCTTATGACAAAATATTTAAAGTTGCTTCATCTCTGTTCACCAGTTTAAATATTGATCAAATGCATATAGTTGTGCCATGCCATGGAAGCAGTTTTCATGAGTCTGTGAAAAACCTATTCACTTTTTTTTCCCCCCTTTACTGTGGAGAGTGGGGGAGGGAAAAAAAGACCACTCAGGTGGCCATTGCGAGTGTACACCAGCCTTCTTTGCCAGAGTTACCACAGAACCATCTCCCCCACCTTTTAATTTTTCTCCCCCCCCTCCCATCCCTTCCCCCAGCACCGCTCCGTGCCCGCTCCCGGCCCACGTGCCGCCCACGCAAAGGCCGCGTGAAGCTCGGCGGGTTTATTTTAGGAGGCACCATGACCCCCAGGCATGTGAAACAGCAAGCGGCAGGCGCGCTCTGCCCGCTCGGCTCCACCGCACGGTGAGCCTCCGCCAAGGCTGGCCGGCAAAGCGGGGTGGGGATGCTCCCAGTACACCACCCCTGCTTCCCACCGCTGGCCCGGGGCTCCTACTGGGGAGGAGAGTTCGGGATGAAGGGCAATAGTTTGGGATGGAGGAGGATAGTTCGGGATGGAGGAGGAGAGTTCGGGATGGAGGAGAGTTTGGGATGGAGGAGGAGAGTTCGGGATGGAGGACGATAGTTCGGGATGGAGGAGGCGAGTTCAGGAGGGAGGAGAGTTTGAGATGGAGGAGGAGAGTTCGGGATGGAGGAGGAGGGTTCGGGATGGAGGAGAGTTTGGGGTGGAGGAGGAGAGGTCGGGGATGGAGGAGAGTTCGGGATGGAGGAGAGTTTGGGATGGAGGAGGAGAGTTCGGGATGGAGGAGGAGAGTTTGGGATGAAGGACTATTAGTTTGGGATGAAGGACTATTAGTCTGGGATGGAGGAGGATAGTTTGGGATGGAGGAGAGTTCGGGATGGAGGAGAGTTTGGGATGGAGGAGAGTTTGGGCTGGAGGAGGAGAGCTTGGGCTGGAGGAGAAGAGCTTGGGATGGAGTAGAGTTTGGGACAGAAGAGAGTTTCGGATGGAGGAGGAGAGTTTGGGATGGAGGAGGATAGTTTGGGATGGAGGATAGTTTGGGATGGAGAAGAGTTTGGGATGGAGGAGAGTTTGGGATGGAGGAGGAGAGCTCAGGATGGAGGACAGTTTGGGATGAAGGAGGACAGTTTGGGATGGAGGAGGAGAGTTCGGGATGGAGGAGGCGAGTTCAGGATGGAGGAGAGTTCGGGATGAAGGAGGAGAGCTCGGGATGAAGGAGATCTTGGGATGGAGGAGGAGAGTTTGGAATGGGGGAGCGGAGGCAGGCAGCCCGGCTCCTGCCTGTCCCCTGCCTGTCAAAAGCTGCATCCCGTGTGCCGGCATTCCCCGCTGCCATCTCCCCGAGCATCCCTGCATCCCGGTTGCCTGCGCACCATCAACGGGCATCAACGCAGGGGCTGAAACCCCCTAGAATTAGTGCAGATTAAAGCAGAAAACCCTTTTTTCTCTCTCTCTCTCTCTTTTATGCTATAAAACCCTATACAATTCCCCACCCTATGGGGCCAGGTTTGGGGTGGATTTGCCCAGCTTGCCCTCCCCC